TCATTTGTTTGTAAGTTATAAGCATTTTTATATTTATATATAAAAAGTGGATGTTTCTTGCTGTCCGGTACTGTATTGATAAGTTTGGGTTTATTTACCCCACTTTACGTGTATCTACCTATTCTTTACATATGTGAAATTAATTATTAATTTATAAGCTTCTTTATATGAAATATTTTTACAATCAGAAACATTTAATGGGTGGCAGCCCTTTTTTTGCCGCTCTGCAAATGAATATTAAGACCCGTACACGTGGCTTAACTTGAGATAGAAATTCAATTGCGTGTAACTTTAAAGGGCAGCTGCTGCTTGGCCAGTGCTCGGCTATAATAAGCCCACAGGCCAAGCAAAGTACGTACGTAGTTATACGTACCGTATAAATACCCGTTTTTTTCTATTTAGTATAATAAAAATTCTCCGACTTTACCATTTTTTTTAATCATGGCGGATCAAAGAACTGAAACGGCAGATCAAAGAACTGAAGCACTTAAAACATTGACGTCCATGTTCCCTGATGTTGATCCTGAAATATGCGAGTCTGTCTTAAACGCGAATAACAGTGAATTGGAATCAAGTATAAATTCTTTATTGGGTATGTCTGACCCAAATTATAAAAGTGAAGAGGCTATTCCGGTTCAAACTGAAGTATGAAAATATCGCAATATTATAATATATTTTTGCAAAAACCATTGTCCTGTTGATTTATTTTATGCTTTTTAGTCTGGTTTCGTGACCTCGTCTTCAAGGCAACAAATAGAGAGTGATGAAGAGCTAGCAAGGCATCTTGCTGCTGAAGCTGACAGTAAGTTGGATATTTAAAATCAGTTCTATGAACTTTCCTTAAAACAAATTATAATTCCATCATTTGATCCATAAATGTAGGAGAACTTGGTCCTCCTCCTTCACATCTTACCGAACAACAACAACGGCAACATCACAATCAGCAACAGCAACAGCAACAATCATCTGGATTTCCTGATTTCTCAGGTGCGAATCCTTACAAATTTATTTTATTTGATATCATGATATATCTAATTTAACTTTGAAATTATCGTTATAACAGAGGAGTTACCAATAATCAAAGAAAAGATAATTCAAGCTGCTGATAGTGAGTATGGAAATTTTCTATTTTTTGTTCTCATTAAATAAAAAGATGTTACATTTATATTTATAATTTATTTCAAAATAGCGACAAAAAAAAAGGTGAAAGAATGGTATGAAAAATTAAAACAACAAACTTCTCCAAGAAATGAAGATCAATTTACAACCCCACAATATACAAATTTACCAAGAGACGAGGCTGATAATCCAATGCTTGGCGAAGATTTTTCCGAATCATTGAATTCCCACACGAATAATCAACAACAAAGTACCATCGATATTCGTAGGAATACTTCCTCTTCACTAGAGTCGCGACCAAAACCTTCCTTTGAAGAATGACCAAAACCAAATATATGATCGATTTTTGGTCAATAGTATCAAATTCAAAATCCACTCAAATTTATTAAATCATTGCCATAAATTATTAAACATTCATTTTAAAAGTAATTTATTGATTAAGCATGATTATAGTTTTCAGGCTCGGACGTTGCCCCGGGATTGATGTTTTTAAATTTATTTTTGTAATAAAGATAACTAAATATTATTTTTACTATATCCATAAAGATAAAACTTTATTATTATGAAAGGTTTATCTATAAAACAAAGCTATTTTTACTATACTTTTAAATAAAAAAAATCTTTATTAGTATGATATGTTTTTACTTTAATTCAATTTTAATCATAAAAATTTTACATATTAATATTCGCGTGTAAAATCCGTTACCCAAACGTGATCTACGTAGCGGATTTTACCAATTTACAGCGCGGGTTTCACCAGTTCTATATAATTATATATAAAAAAGTAATCATTCAAAAATATTGTAACTTATTGCCAGTACGTTGAATTGCTAGCTACAGCTGTTATTATAAATTACGGAACATCTTGGTGTTTTAGAGAAGATAGAAGGGTTATGTTTTGCAATTATTGTGATTTATTTGTTGAGTAGAAAGTTAAATCTATTGTCAATAGATATTGCAATTTAAAGGAATATATTAAAAACAAGCAAATATATGAAAATAAGAAAAAATCTAAAAAGCAAGTTACACTTGTTACTACAATAATATTTGAATCAAAAAAAGAAGTAATTAAAGACTTAATTAAAACTTTTTCATTTGCAAATATTCCTTTTAAAAAAGTAAATAGCTTGTTTCTATTTTTTAAAAAATATTTTAAAGGTGATATAATTTCTTAAGTTTTTACACTTCGCTAAGTTTATCTACCAAATATCTTTGATATTTATATTTTTTTCTTTAAGATCTCTTTAGTCAAAAATCTGTAGTTATAATAATTGATGAAATTACAAATAATTGTTTATGTAGTATTATAAACAATTTTTTTAATTTTTGCCAAGATACAAAATTAATTTTGGTTGATTTTTTGAATATAGTTAATAATTTAACAATTAGTAGAATTTTATTAACTTAATTAGTTAAATATAATATTTTCTATACTTAGGGTATAGACATTTATCACCTGATTTTTTAGGGGGAGGGGTCAGAAAAATTATCAGATACTATATAATATAGTATTATTAGCTAATCAAAATTGTCCAATATAATAATATAAAATTTTTAATAATAATAATTAAAAATATAAAAATTATATTAGAATAAAAGTGAATTTTGCTCAATTACAAAAAATTTTATTAAGTAAATTGATTATATATATTAAGTAAAGTTTGTTTAGAAGATCAAAATATATATATTTTAAAAATTTTATATAAATCAGAGAAATTTTTAAATTTTTTATTAAATATAATATGCAAAAATATATTAATAAAAAAATTATCTAATTTAGATAAACTTTTAAAATATATATATTTTGCTTTTCAGAACAACTTTTACTTAAGAGTAGAGTATATGTAGATCATTTATCATATGATATATATAGTAAATTTTTTTTGTATAATAGATTATATAGTAAATACAAATCTAATTGGTTAATTACCTGTTTTAAAAATATTTTTACTATGTTTTTTGTATAACTTTAGCAAATTTGGGGCATCTTCAGAAATTTAACTGTATAAAGAAATATATTTTTGTAAAATAATATAATTTTTAAAAATTTTACTACTATAAATAGAAAGTTTAATCTGTATATTATCAAATTTTAGTAAAGATTAATTGTGATTTTGAAAACTTTTATTAGTGGCGTATTTCTTTTATATATAAAATCCGGTTGTACTACTAAAATCATATAATAAATGATCGATATACACTCTATTCTTAATAAGCTTTGTTAATTTATTTAATAAAATTTTGACTTAACTATAGAATAACTACTGATAATTTTATATATATAAGTATTAGACTATATAAAATTTACTTAAATTTAATTGGCTAGTTCGTGTTAGGTAGGGAGAGAGTACTCTCTTAAGAGATAAAAATCACCTAATAAATATCTATATTCTTATTAAAATTATTTGTTATTAATTCTGCAGTTTATATAAAAAAGTAATATAAAAAAATATTATAGTAAAACCAGTTATGCTATAATTAATTCATATATTTGTTGTGTATATATTCTTAATCTTATTGATATATATATAAATATCTTTATTTGACAAACTCTTATGATCATGAATTTATTTCTGTTTGTTATTTTTTTCATGTATTATAAAATATTTATATTTACTTAAATTAAAACTCAGCTGATAACTTCCTGTCAATTATAATTATAAATTATTAGATAACATTATTATTCAGCAAATTTTTAAATAATGGTAATTTGGCTCAACTAGACAAATGATTGGCTAATATATGCTGCTTCGCAGCATATATTCATTTGCTTAATTAAATCAAATTACTGTTATTTAAAAATTTTTGTCTAATAATATATACTTATTCTTTGACTAACTCTATATAACTTTTTTATATATTTATTTTACTAGAAATATATCTATCTAGAAATTAAAATTAAAACTTAAATTCACCAAATATCAAATTATAGCTATTGCAGTACTGTTATAGAACAATTTATTATTTTATTAATTTATTATTTTGATATTATATAATTATTAGTTATTATTTATTACTTTATTATTTTATTATTATTATTTAGTTATTATTATTAGAGTAGAATTTAATATGTTTAACACTTAACAATTAATGATTAGTGATTAGTGATTATGTTTAGCAATTAACGATTAACGATTATGCTTAACGATTAACGATTAACGATTACACTTAGCAATTAACGATTAGCGATTATGCTTAGTGATTATTATTAGCATTTAACATTTAATGATTAGTGATTACACTTTACACTTAGCACTAAGTAAACTACGTTTAGCTGCAATGATTAGTAATTAGCTCTAAAGATATAAAAAGAATGTAATTTCTCTAAGTTAATATTAGACCTATACCATCTAACCTCTTAGATTCAAACTCTCCACTTTCTTAAATTCTCTCTTGTAATATTATAGGATTCTTTAGAAATAGAAATCTAAGGATAGTCTATTTTATTCTTTCTAATAAAACATATATTTATCTATAAACTATTGTCTGTCTGAACTGTCACAAACAGAAGGGTATAGTTTCTAGTTGCAGTAGAAATTATACTTACCTGTTAGACACTGCTATAAACCTGTGAAGAATCCTTGTAGCTATGTCATTGTTATAGTACTGCTATTAAGAAGGCTATGATACTGTAATATTTGGTATCTTCTGGCACAAAATATTTTTTTTAAACTATTATCAGACAACATTATCCCAGACTCTTCTTGATTAATAGCTATTTACCAGAGAATAGTTATTCCAGATTGAATTGAATATTGCAGATGACAACCTCTACTACCAAGGATTTATTTAGCTAGTAATTAGACATATTTCTAGGAATTGATAGATTCCTTATAAGTCAAAGTGTAAGCATAAGGATCTAACTTTAAAGACAATTAAAAGATTCCCTATGAACCAAAGTATAGACATAAGGATCCAACCCAAAAATATTATTTTGTTTTTCTTTTTTCTTCTTGCTAGCCAAAGTATTTGAACTTTGCTCTATAACTGATAGAATCACTGAATTACACAACAAATATATTACAAGCATGAATATCAATAAAACTCTGCTCTTCCTTTTACTACTTTACAAACCTTAAATCCAAACCTTTTTTGTAACTTTGTTATTCTCTATCTAGAACTAGTCCTTGCACTTTTCTTCACATATTTTTTAGAAGATTTTGAAATTAGTATTTCAATATCTATGACACATACAGTTATACTTCCAAAACCACTACTAGCCTTGTACACCTTACTATAATCTGAGACAAGCCCTCTATTTGAACAAATATTAGAGATATTATTTTTAGTTGTTAATACAACAGAAAGATAGAAGACCCTAAAGAAATTACTCTTGCATTGCTCTAAAGATACTTTACAGGATTTTTCAATTTTGTAAAATATTTTTAA